GCCACAAATCATCAGTTATTCTAATTAGTAATCATTAACATTTATATTGTACTATCTTATGCTAACAAATGTCATGAAGAAAAGAAAAACCAAAGGGCAAAACATGAATGAGCAAAACAATGTGCAAATTGCGAAGTACAAGAAGCTTTAGAAGTATGAGAAAAGATAAGACGTAGGACATTACATAACTTGTTCTGTTTTATCGTGCTGTTATCAAGTCTTATATAAATGCGCAGTGAGATTTCTTACCAACAATGAAAAGTACGATGGTCACGGTGATGCTGATAATAATGAACCTCGATTTCACGTTCTGCAGCCACGCTCTCCGTTGCGCTCTCTTTGCGGTTTCTCTAAACTCATTTCCGGCCATGTTCAAACGATCGCTCGCCTCCTGTAAATCCTCCAGCCTCTCGCCGCGATCCATTACTTTTTGGACATTATCCCGCATCACATCCTGCACCTCCTGAATCTGCAGCTTGACGCTTTAAATATAGACGTTTAAACCAATATCAATTACTTGCATCGATAATTCCGCACGCGACAATTTATACATATAATATCCTACCAAATAGTTAAACTAATTCAACAAATGTAAAGTTCAATTCAAGGCCAGTATAAACTTAAGCGTAGATGCATGTATAATGGTGACTACATTTTTCCATTTCTGGTTCCTTGTGCATACAAAATATTCCTCTGTTGACGTGATTGAAACCGGTTTCGACCTTACTAAATGCATATTTATGGCCAATAATTTAGGAAGACCTTAGTGTTATCGACAATTCAATCACGTTCGTATTTGGCCATAAATTGACTTCTATAGTTCTATAGACAAGTCAATTATCATCCTACTTGATTAATTTTATTAATTTACTCTAATTCAACGAAATTGCATTTTAGCTACAAATATAATAATATTTGAATAATAGAATAATATTAGTTGTAAAAAATGTAATATAAAATAAATTATAATAAACACTTGTATAAATCATAAATAAAGTAATTTATAAATAAATAAAATGTGATTAAAATTACATTATACATAACAACCGCCCGAAAGTTTTAAATTAAAATACATGTTGTGTCTTTAATACATTAATATTACTTTAATATATACACAAATTCTTAAAATGTAAAAAATTTATCACCACTCACCTATCCATTTTGTGATCAACATTTTCATTTCCACTGGACGTGCTGGGTTGGCTGTAATTACATGTTTCACGTCAATGCATTTGCTGAGAATTTCCGGAAAAATATAGCAAGAGTCGAATAAAGTAAACTATACATATCTACTTTTGTAGATATGTAAACTGATAATTTATATTAAAATGTAAAACTAGTTCATATATCAAATGTCAAAGTGTCATAACAATTTTTATTATTTCGGTATTTTATCAAACACAATGTTTTTATATTAATCTCTGTAAAACTTTTTCCAAAAATTGGCGCTTGCAATATTTTTACAGAAATTTTTTTTAATTAACTGTAGCCGATTAATTGTAGCAGAAAAGAATTATCTATCTTACCTAAACAACATCTCCTCGAGATCACTGTCGTGTTCCAATAGCGCCTCCTGCAAAACAACAGTTCAAACATATGTCAGGTTTCCCGCCAAGCGTGACGTCATTTTCGAGCGCTGCGTATTCTTTGATGTATTGTACATACACCGATGCGACGATGAGGAATACTCACTCTCTCATCTTTGCCCGCGGCTTCGAGGTCCTTTTTGGATAAGGTGCGTATACCAGGTGACAACATGCCCTTGGGAAAATGGGCCCGCGCGTTATTCGCGGCCTTTAAATGATCTATTCGCACACGCGGATGATATTTCGCGGCGATCAGAATTTAACCTTCCACGAACACTCGGCCATTTTGACAGAAGCCATTCTGTTTTACCGGCTTCGTGATAGGCGAACCGCGGATCAATATAGCAGAGGGCAGTATCGTGTAGCGATTTACACGTGTAATAAAACATAATTATTTTTCGTTAATGTACCAAAATATTGCATATTTTAAGAGATAATAATCTTTAAATGCTTAAAAATGCGTATATATTGTTAAAAAACTTTTTTTTTCTTTAAATAGTATTTCTAAATAATAATTTTATTATTAGGATTTCTAATAGTTCTAATAATATTAGTAATATTTTCAATAATTCTCTAGTATAATAGTATTTCTAATAATTCTTTTTAAATAATAATTTCTAGATAATTTCCCATTTAACACGATAAGTATTGAATAAATATGTATAGATTTTTTATCTTTTACATCTATTTTAATATTTTATACAAAAGAGTATATATATAGTTATACATTATAATCGACTTATAAAATATAATATGACAACGGTAGAATATGTATACGATTTAAAGAATAGCGCGAGACCTAAATTAAATTTTAAAGAAAACCAGAGCTATATCTTGCATATCGCTTTTATTTCGACATAAACATTTAAATCTATAATAATTACAAATACATAATGTAGCGCGAACGATAGAAAAATAATTTGATTGTCGTACGTATGGACGCGCGAGGGTTCGCAGAAAACTTTGCAATAAGGATTATAATATTCTTTTCATAAATCTTGTGTGGATTTTTTGGAGAGATAATAGAAACAACTGCAACAGAAAAGCACAGTTTCTACAAAATTATACGACCGTGTATTAAATACTACAGTTCAGGAATATTCAGAAAATAGTTTTCATGTTTATATATAAAGAAGAACAGAAAACGATTATATTATAATAATCGTACGATCTTGAGGTTTGTCGAAATTGTCATATAAATTATCGCTTTAGCATAATTAACAACCATGTCTTCAGAAATTAACAAATACCACATTCAGGAATATCTGCACTCATCGGTATATTACAAAAATGTAATATACGGCACATATTCGAAGTTTTCTAATAGAAATATTCTCTTATATAGTAAAAATCGGCACCATAGATGATAGACAAGATTATGACAAAGATAGAGTAGGGATATATATCTATACATATTTATAAAAATAGGCCAGCTTTGGCAGGGATATTCATGACGTTGTGAGGTACGTTTACAGTTATAATAATAATTTCGTGAAGTGACAAATGATATACCTATATACTTCGATATTATCGACTTATATTGTTAGTCTGTTTCACTTGCATAGTGACTTGCTTTCTTTGAAAATAAGAGATTGATACATTTTGCAAGATTGCATATTATGTGTTAAAATATAACTGAAAACTCTGGAAACCGTCCTTTGCCTTTGCATCAATATATAAATCATTGGAATCGAGTTTCCCTCTCTCAGTGCACGTTAACGTATTGTACTATACAGGTGGTTTTCCATTCGTAAGATTAATCCACTCTTTAAAAAACTATCTTATAAATGCAATAAAATCTTGTAAGTAAATGGAAATTTGAATTAAACTTACTTAGACCAAATATCTCATATACTGTATTCAAAAATAATTGAATAATTTTCTGCGAAAATTGATTCAATTTTGATAAATATAAAGGAAAAGTAAAAGAAATGTGCTTTAACCCGGAAATAATCATCTAGTTTTTTTGCGCAAACGCGTAATCACTTGATAGAGTGTCTTTTACACCTCAATTACAAATCACTATTATTAATTACATATTGTTGATTGTTCTGCAATTTATTAGTATTTGAGATCATTATGTATATGTATATATATTTACTTAATATTCTCTCTAAAAAGTAAGAAGAAATTAAAAAAATAGATATGAATTCTCGATCAAAGAAAACTATCGTGTTGAGCTTCATTTTCTCGCTGCTGGGATGTAAAAATCATCCCAGGTGACTATTTCCGGGTTAAAGGCTGGAAAAGAATTTAATATTTTTAGAAATTATTTATTCTTAGTTAAATATAATAGTTCATAGTTCTCAAAATTTCAAAAACTATCTATGCAAACTAATAACTACCCGTTTCTCACATAAACAATCACAAATGCACATTCATTATCAGTCGACATGTACGAGCCTAGGACCACAGTAATCGAGAAAAAAAGAACGTACGCGATAGAGAGAACATCTAAACCTGAAGTTTAAAGTGCATTTCGTTACATATATATATCCGCCTATACTGTAATTTCTTCTGAACGTACTCCAAACGTGAAACGTGACTCTTGATAGGAGTAGCCAGGTAGATCGATATGTGTGTAATACCATTTCACACTGCGTCTCTTCGATACGCATAACGTTATCGCTACGCAGTTGTAGATATACGCTTATCTCGAAATAATATATCCGCTGGTGATAATTGTGACGTTTATATATGTATATATTTAAGTGTTTGTCAGAGACACTTAAGTCTCTGACATATGTCTTTACACATTCCTTAGGCCGCGTCTACTTGAACGCATTGTTTTCCATTAACAAGCGTGACGAACGATAGGAATTATACGTCAAAATACGCATTTATCTTGAGAAGAAGATAAAAAGCGATATCGGATTGATATTACGTCAATAACCGAGACCGATATTACTTTATTAACGAAACATTCCAAACCACAAATTTTTATATATATGACAAGAAATCCAATAGATAAATTTTCCAATGTTTAATTATACTCAACAAGAGACTTTTAGAGTGTAGAATTCAAATCTCTGTTAAAAGGTTATACTAAAACAATTTACATATATAAACATGTAAAACATATATTACATAATTTATATTATTTACATATATAAATCTAAAACAAATATGTACCTATAACATTTATAAATTAAAATGGAATTTCTTTGCAGGTTGGAAGTTATAGCATTTATATAGCGAATCATAATAGTAAAATGTCTCGAGAAAAATGTGTTGTCACATTTTTCAAACTCGAAACGGTGAGACAAAGTCTTATTTGCTGCTGCACTTATCCTATTGAAGGAACCAATTCTTTAGAATCCTAAAGACAATAAAGACTTTACTCTCATTTCATTATAATAAAGATACTTCTTATATATCTTTAAATATTAATAAAGTTAGTTGTTATTAATGATCGATAATTGTTAGATAAATAAACATATCTGTTAGATAAATCAATAGAAGATGTGCATGTTTTACAGGAATCAAGTAGGCATTTAATATTGTTGTTTGATAGTGATATTTCTCTTATTCAAAAGTATCATAAAAACTAATTAATTACAAATAACTGCCTAATTGTACTAATAAAAACAATTATAATTAAATTATATAAAAATAACATAAAAAGTAATATAAACTCTTTTCTTCAGTTTTCCTGTAAATATATTGAGTAGAAGAAACGTCGCACATAAAGTTGCATAGTAATGTAAAAAAGATAATTTTAAAACATTTTTCCTGAAAAATATTTCCTAATCAATTTTTAAATTTTGGTTTCTTTATGCTAATCGAAGACTATCGCATATACTAAACTAAAGTTAGTGTAATAACAAACTGTAAGGAATTTAGATTTGTTACATGAACAATGATACAACTTCCGTTAACGAACTCCGGTTAGCTGTTCGTATCTAGGTCATAGTCGTATTTATAATGTATATCCAGGCAGAGAATGAAAATTTAGGTAACAGCAGTAAATTAGAAGATAATACGGCGAAAGTGTGACCTTTAACATTGTTCCATCACACAACGAACAGTATTTTATTCTCTATGAGACATGTATCACGTACGATAGGTTACAATTTATAAAGTAGAAAGACGACCAGCGTCGCGATATATCGGACGAATCCTGCGTCCAGTGAGTATTTTTTATATATAATAAATTATATATATTATATATATCTATGTATGTATATGTATATATACATATAATATATATGATTTATACATAATTTAGCTGAATAAGTTATCAAATATCGTACAATCGCGTAATATTGCTATCAACAACGAAAAGCAATTTTTACTTTATCTCCTCATCCCTTCAGACTTAATTGATCAATTACGACGGACAATAGTACTTTTACGTAGAAATTGTGGATACGTTTATAAATATTTGTTACCTCTTTTTATAAAACGCTAATACAACTATATACTTTAAGTCAAATATTATAAAGCTCATGCAAATTCGACTTAATGATTGAAGTATTCGTGTACAAATAACAGTAAACGACATTGTCGAATTAGACATTTAAGGATTAAGTTGGCTAGAAGTAATAGATAAAATAGTTCTTAAACTGTTTACCGTTATTTAAACTCGAATTTTATTTCTCTATCTATTAACGCGCGTGCAGATATCTCAAGAGAATTGCGTGAATACTGGTGATCGTTGACGCCATTAATTATGATACGTTTGTTTGTCAAATATTTACTAAATACGAATTTCAGTATACTCGACTTGATAAACGTTCGTGCTAATTAATATTTTAAGTATATATTCTGTATGTTTTACTCGTATACCCACAATAATATTATTACGTGAATATCTTACAAATTATTTTGCATTTATAAAACGGGATAATTTAATAACAAAATTGGGATCTGCATAACTGGTGGTTAAAAAATTCGGTTAATTAATCATACCGTCTAAATCAAACTGAATTAACATTTTTTTCTAGAAATAAAGCAATTTTGTCGAGCATTAATAGTTTTCATCATTTCGCCAGTTCTGCGCTGTAGAGTAAGCTTTGTTTGGAATATTGAGAAATATTTAGTCAGCGGATCACGTCGTTCAAAGCCGGCTTTATTCGCGAAACGCAATTATCGGAGCACCGCGCGGTAAGCATCGTAGAGAGTAACGCGTGGGACCGAGCGCACGTGCGACTCATTAGGCTCTAATAAATAATCAAATCGCTGCATTGCAGACTGACGGCGCGCCAAATTTACTTGCGCCGCTATTCGTCTCGCGCTTGTGAACGAAAGAGATTCCGTCTAAGATCGTTAATCTTAAATTCTAATTTCAAGATCGCGTGCACATACATACCATACATACATACACCCGCTAATACACACACACACACACACACACACACACACACACACACACACACACACACACACACACACACACACACACA